GAGGATACGTGCTGGGAGCAAAAGCCATAGCCCCGAAGGCAGACCATATCCCACCGCTCCTGCTGGTTTCCCATGTCAGGAGAGCGAGGATCCCCACTGTGCCACATCATGGCTCCTGCCGGGTTTCTGTTGGCAGTGCTGCACTCATAAACGCTTTTTATCCCTTCCTGAGACTCTGAAAGGTTGCCAGTCAACACCCTGACTTAACGTATGGGTGGAACCGGGCACCTGGGAAGTTGCCTCCGCTAGCTGGCAGGTCAGCAATTGCCCGAGCCCACCTAAGAGACACAAGCAAGAAGGAGCATCCCTTGCCTTCCTCTGGGATTAAGTTTGACTTCTGCACTGCAAACATGTAACTCTTACTATTGAAAGATTCAGATCATCAGATTTCTTCTAGGACCTGAACCGTCGCACTGTCTCTTTTCAAAAACATTGGGGACTTTTCCTTCAAAAGGACACAGCCAGAGAAGGAGTTATTTTAGCTATTAGTTCAATGATTAATTCATCCAGTAAGGGAGAGACCAAGGGAATTTGAAATTTACTTCCCTACCTTCCAGGACCACATCTTAAAAATCATGTTTTAGGCTGTTCCCTGTAGCAGTTAATTTTGCAAAGCTTCAGATAGAATCCCTGAAAATAAGCTAGTATTAAAAAACATTGTATTTTGCTACATCACTTGCTTTGTTCTCGCACCGCATCCAAGCAGCACCACTCAGTTTCCTGCTTTCAGATGTGTACAATTTTACCAATTTAATGCTCTGGACTTAAAATTGTCCATGCATATGCTTGCCTCAGGTTGAATTAGATTAGAAAGTTTCAGCTAAAGTCTTTGGTTAGGTCTTAAGTGAGATTTTCTCCCTCCCTCAAGTTAAATAAACAACAGCAATTTTTTTTTCTGTGGGATTTCTGTTACTTTGCAGTAGGAACCTGAAACGTCTCAGAGCTTAGGTCTTGAGTCAAGGATAGTCTTTTGCCATGTCTTAAGAAAATCTTCCCCATTAATATCTCTCTGTTCTCCCAAATCCCTAGATCCATTCAAGGTAAGGCTTCATCACCAGCAACAAATGAAGCAAAAATCCAACAGTCTCTCACTACATAATCCTGTATCATCCCTACAACTCATCCAACCTGACCAATATGAAAAGGAAGGAGTCACACAAGAAAAATATTAGAGGATAACATAACTTAAAGGTTTGGTTATGGATACAGTCTTCAAAGCACACACCCAAAAGTCCCAAACTACGATTTCACAGAACACGTGAATTTTGGAATTTTGCAACTTCTCTGATTTGAGCTCGCAGCCTTAAGAACATTATTGCAACATCTTTTGAATGTTATTACATATGGAACTGTCATCCTTTAAGAGTGTTAACCTGCAATAGGAATTACGTGGTGTCACATATACGACGGTCTTTTAAAGATTTACTGTGGATCAAAACCAAAGCAATATATATAGAACATTAGTTTTGATTTACAACTACTACGCTACAAAAGAAATGGATTCAAAACCTCACATACTGTAACTTACACGCACATAGCGTAAAATACACTGGTCTATTTTATGCCTCTTTCTGGCTCTTTTTAGGCATTTCTGTAACAGGCTAAGGGGCCATTTTCTTATCCCCCAGTTCACCTCTCCACATTTACTTGAGCCCAATTAAAGCAATGGAATACATGCATGATCCATAAAGACAAACAGTACACTTAATTAGATATGTAACATGACTAAATGAAGGCAGACAAATATTTCCAGCCTTCCACAAGCCTAACAGGAAATCAACCCACATATTAGTAGGGAGGCATTTTGAACTCTGTTTATACAATCAAAGGTACATTTAACAGCTATTAACAACAGAGATCCTCATTTGTTATTCCCCTTGTTTACAGGCCTTCAGAATAAGAAAGAAAACAAGACCATATATCATGGCCTTCCAGAAACATTACGACTTCCTTTTATTCACAGTAGTTAAGAGTAAACGGAAAATTCATTTAACGTAAAACAAAGCAACATAATTCTGCTGATGCCAACCTCTACTTTCACTGGTTTTTTTTTACTGTTCATTGAAGAAAATGCTGAACCCCCTGGGGCACTGAGTACAAGCTACTGGCCAGGGACCTTCCTACTTGCACAGAGATGGGAAACGACCTCTCCAGATACAATTTGAAGAAATACCAAGAAAACCTTGGCCAGGTGAAAACAGGAACATAACACCCTCGAGTCAGCAGAAGGAAAAGTCATTTTAAAGCATCTCCCTTACATCCTGCATCACCTAACACACATCCTAAAATGCCAAGGGCAGTAAAACACTCAAAAAGTTGCACCAAGTGAACCTTAGGGAGGTCTGATAAACCTCGTGGCACAAAAGAAGACCCATGTTTGTAACTACACACCACATTTCCAAGTTCATGGTACTCAAAAGTAAAGGTAAGACCAGCCTTCAGCAATTTCAGAACAACACTTCAAAGCAATGTATTTTCACAAACAGGAATATATATTATGTTTTGTGCTTATCTGAATGCTTTGACTCTGAACAATATCGTCTGACTTGTACGATTCCAGCAACTCACCTCTGACCTTATGTCAAAACTGGGGAAAGCACTGCACCTCTTGAACTGGGAATCACAAAATAGTTTAGCTTGGGTGGGACCTCTGGAGGTCTTAAGTCCAACCCCCTGCTCACAGCAGGGCTAACATCAAAGTTGAAGCAGGCTGCTCAGGTCTTTGCCCAGTCAAGGCTTGGACATCTTCAAAGACAGAGAACTCCAGTGTCTCTCTGGACACCTGCTCTGCTTTTTCACCATCTCGTTATGGATTTCTTCTCCTGCTGCCCAGGAGGCAGTTTGTGGTCCCAGACTTGTGATCACAGCCTCTCATCCTTCCACTGGGCACCTCCATGAAGACAGTCTGACTCCATCTTTTCTACAACAACTCATCAGAAAGCTGAAGGCTGCAATTAAATTCCCACCACACCCAGCACAGTCTTCTCCTGGCTGCACAAGCCCAGCTCCCTTGCTGTCCCAGCCAGCCCTTGACCACCTTGGCCAATCTCTACAGTTTCTCAAGCACTTTCCTGGGCCAGGGAACCAAAAACTCGGACTCCAAAAACAGTCTCACAACTACCACCCTGAGTAGCAATGTAAGAAACTTGGAACAAATGTCTCCCATGATTCCCATAGAGTATGAAATAATCAGCAAAGTGAAAAAAATGCCTCTTGTTCCAGAGAGCGTCCCTTACCGTTCTGGAGAAAGCACTGAGCTTCTACCCTTTCACCTCCAAGGAAATCTCTTGCTCTGGTTAGCTACTTCAAAAACCCCTGTCCGACATCTCACAGCTGAACACAGCTCCTGGTAATTTATTTTTCTTCAATTTAGGAACACCTGTCTTTTGCTACCTTCGGTAGCTCTGCAATGAATACTTTGTTAAATATGTACAAGACCAGACCACTATCTCAGATACATATCTGGTTTTGCACTCCATGACATCGCGCTCCTTTTCCTGACTGGATTCCAACCTCAACCTCAGTGTGATTCTGCAGACACGTATCTTCGAGGCTTGCAGCATAAAACTCACAATTGATCTCGACTTCTGGAAGCTGCTTCTAGCTGCAGTATCAAGAATGATAACAATGCACATACACTTCTATTTGCAAGCAGGACTGATTTCCCTGTCCAATAAATTTTGACCCCCTCACTGACTTTCTTCAGATGACGGAAAGCTGCTTCTGTCTTTGAACTTTTAGTCTACATTTCCCCAGCAGAACTAAACTCTTCAAAGTTCACATTTTCACTTAGCTTTAGCTACAGATACTTTTTCTGTGATGATTCTCTAATGTCCAAGTCACAGCGGAGGTGCTTCCAACAAGGAAAATGGCTGACACTACATTTTCAACCACACGAAGTGAACCACCAGTTCCTCCTCTTAAAAAAACCCAACAAAACAAACCAAAACCACAAAAGCCAATAAAAAAATCCTCCTTTGATACTGCTCACTGCTTTGGGACCAATCTCACACATATTAATTATTCAGGAATTCCTAAATCAAAGAAAGACTATTAAGATGGACAGCAAAAAAGCATCTTCTCCAAGAAAAACACTTCAGAACACTTCAGCAGATTCAGTGGTAAGTTATTTTTTGTTCATTCTTTTCCTGTTGTTTTGTTGTGGGTTTTTTTTTCGTGTGTGGTTGTTTTTTTTGTTTGTTTGTTTCACTGTTTTATTTTTATTTTCTTCAAGAGCACCCATAACCTATTGATTATGTCTCTTTTTTACTTTTAGAAAAAACCCACAACCTTCTGGGATAAGCATGTGACATGACCCCAGTTTGACTGCCTCTGTATTTGCTTAAATTTTGACTTTTCTGTCTTGGTATAAACACTAGGCAAATGGAACACAAATCAAATTATATTCATCAAAAGCTAAGCACTAAAACACAAACTTAAAATATGAAGGAACACCCATACTCATAAGGAATGGTTCCTTGGTTGATCCTTCTTTTTGTCTGAATGCATCATAAAAGAAGTTATGTTTCATTACTGAAAAAACATTTTGGCTTCTTTCATGGTTGCAAAGAAGTGTAATTAAGACTGTCATGAAAACACATTGAACAGCTGTATATTGTTAACAAAAGTACCATTATATGACTGCTCTGAAAAAACCTGGCAATTTAAATGTTCACATTTCCTAGAAGTTAGATATTTTTCCAAGCTCCAGTAGATACCAAAAAATGTTTTTTCTTTAAATCTTGGTTGTGTATCAGTCATATTTCAAGCCAGCAGTATGGTCCCAGTTTGAGGACACATCCACATACATAAGGAGAAGTGGATGGCAAAGCTTCGCCAATTGAAAACTGAGTCACTGAAAATAAAAAAAAAAGGATTAAGCTACTTTTTAAACTGGAATTAACTGAAATTTTCTTAGACTGCAAGTGTGCCTGAAAACCAAATAAAGACAGAGTAATCCTTCCAGCCTGCGCTGAAAAGGACCATTAAGGAATACTTACTCATCGAAGATCAGGTCTGGAGCAAAATAGAGGAACTGGCTATTTGTATGTTTGTACGATCTCCAACTCAAGGCAAACGATGACAGACACATCCATGAATACTGAATTAAAGTAATTTGGTCCTCGAGAGGCAAGTTTCTAAATCCTAGAGATGAAACCAGAAAATATGCATGAACTACACTATGCTCTACAAGCGTTGGCCAAACAGCACTGAATACATGGTTCATTATTTTTCTAGTAATAACGAACAGGACCCTCACTCCCACAGAGTATACTTCTGAAAGAAACAAAACTGTCATTTTTCATTCCAGTGACAAAGCATGTTTTCTTCTTAAGAGGCTATTATTCAAAATGAAAGCTTTTTAAATATCGATCACAGGCATAAGAAACAAACATTACATAAATCAAAAAACCCAACAATCTTCTCTCAGATGTTCATCTCCCCCCCCCCGTGACGGTTTTCAACACAGCCCACAGAAGATTAAAGATGCAATTTGTCAAGCAAATAATTCATTAACCTAAAAGAAACAGTGAAGGGAAATTTCACCACATGCCTCATGGTCCTACCTGGAAGTATCTTCGCCCACTTCACCACCTGAATCATCTGCTTGCCAGCCAGGCGGTTTAAGGTGGAAAGCAGGTACTCCGCTGTGTCTGGCTTTGAACTGTCGTATCCTGCATACACTATCTCTGGTTCAATGCTTTCAAGGATCTTAACAGGAGATGGAGTAAGTGCTGGTGAGATAGCAGACATGTGGGGGACAAGTGCTGTGTTTACAGAGGGCTCAGTCACAGGCGCGATGTACGTCGTCCCTTCCTCGGGGCTCTGAGGTGGTGGCTGCTGCCGCTGCTGTGGCTGCTCCTCGTGCATCCCTTTCAATTTCCCCAACTTTTTGGATTTCCGGGCTGTGAAGATGAGCAGCACAAGAACCAAGTCAGTACAGTAACCCTGGCTTTATAGAAAATGGAAGCAGAAGTATCATCTCAGAGTTCTCAAGTGAAACAGGTGCAGGACCTTAAAAATACCTCACTGCCTGCGGCATCGTTACACTGGAAAAAGGACCAAAAGACACACATCAGCTCATTTTCATTGCTTTACTGGATGTTTTTATAAGTGACAATGTCCAGTATCTGTCTCCATACAGACATGCATAAAATATCCTACAGTTGTTGGTGCCAATTATACATTTCAGAATTTTATTTGTTTTGTAGCTTAAACGAATCACTTATCACCTACAAGTCTGCAATTAATGTTCTCTATTACATTCGATCATCAAAAGAAATCTCTCTGGCACTGCCTAAAATTAGCGGCCCCAAAGCCCTCGTAAGCTTTTGAGTCGTAGTTCCCACCCTGGCTGCACCTCAACTTGAAATGCAGTCAGTCCATCTTGAGCAGTCTAAGATAGTCAAATTCCTTTGCTTTTGCTGCTTTGATACTTCTGTAAGAGCTTCATCCCCTTTTGCATAGTTCTGAAATAACGCTAAAAATATTTACCCAGTTAAAGAAAAAACACTGAGCCTCGTGTAACAACTTTCTCACTGCTATCAACATCTCTCAAATGATTCGTCTTCTCTTTTTTTTTTTCCTTTAATGTACCTTCCCTACTTTTCTTCACTAAGTATTCTTAGAAGACAGCAATGCTAGTGTGCTTCTACTCTTCGCAGGGATGCTAGCCATTCTCTGTGGACAGCCTTCGCAACTTTGCCATGTGAAGCACAGATACGTAAGCAGGCAGAAAGCCCTGCTCCCATCTCAGCAAAACGATCTTGTAGCATGAGGAAATAATGGGAAATAAAAAACAAGGCAATTAAGTTAAAAAAAAGCCACACACACACAACAAACCAAAAGCCCATCACCCCCCTTTTCGTGTAAGAAAACGTAACTAAAATAATCTTCAAAATCAATAAATAATGAACTAAATTTAAATGTTTGCGGCTCTTTCAGAGTAACTTCTCTCAAATATAGTCTTTCTTATCTATCTGCACACAACTAAAACCCTTGTCTGGACTTTTACCTTCCTGTCTCTTGATTATTGCAATATCCCTTTTATTGGCATCAGTAAATACAAGCCTATCTCACTCCTACTCAGATTACTACTGCAAACACCCTTCTTAGTCCATGCCCTGTCCCAAGTCTATCTCCTCAAGTTTCTTCCCCTGTCATCAATTCCCTTCCCTATCTTTCCTTAAATATAGCACCTTTTCTGCAGTTTCAGGATCCTTTCTGGCCAACTTCCATTTCACTCCTCCTCTCTTCTCCATTATTGAAATGTTCACTCTAGCTCAGCATGCCATGCCACTGCCTCCTGGGAAGTTTTCAAAGCTTGCTCTACGTGCTGCTTCCTACTCTTCTTATTACGGTGCAGGAAACTCCCCACAAAGATCACAGACCTATCTCATTACTCTTCTGCAGACTCTTAAGCCCCACATTTTAAGAAAACCCTCCTCAACAGCAGAGCTGCTGTTGCACCGAGACCACTGCTGGTGACAGCAGCCATTAGTGTTTTACCGTTTCCTTGAAATTGGGGCTGCCTGCCCAGAGCCAGTGGCTGCGACTGAGCTTGCATCGCCTGTGAGGCAGGATACAGACTACCCAGGGTCCAGGACAACGCACGCCCAAGTGCAACGATAGCCTGTTGTTTTCAACACTTCCTTGATGGGACAGTACCTTGAACTCTGAGGAGCTGGCTCATCCCAAGATCCAAAAGAAAAACTTATTTGTTAGGGTAAACATGGGGCATTGCTATATATATTACCACTCACACCCAAGATCTTGAAGGTGCCCAGTCAAACAGCTGCTCTCAGACCATCCTCTTCAAAACCTGCGTACAATTCATTACTACCGCAGCACATCTTGCACTGAGTAACAGTAAGTGCAAAATCTGAACATCAGTTTGGTGTTGTTTCCATCACATAATAGAAGAAGGATCTTCCTGGCTGATTTCAGCATTAACACTGCTCAGGAGATCTACAGAGAACTTCAGAGATCTCTGCGTAACTTTCACCACTTTTCCTTCAGAGAGCTAGACACCATTTCATTAATTCACGTACAGCATGTATGCCTGCTTTCAACAATTTCTTAATTTCTCTGTGCCTGCAAACATCCAGAACAAGTGAGGCAGGTTGAAATTTTTACTAAGAGGACTGGATACGCAAATAAAAATGTGCCAGTCCTAATAAAATTTAGTTTAAAATTCTGTTGTTCAACTATGTACCTATACTTAACAAAAACGTCCTAATTCCCTGAAGCTTTATCACAGATTACATAACGAAACACAGAAATTACTGCCATTTGAGGTTATAAGGAAGAGGCGAGACAAGTATCTGTCAGGAAAGGTTTCACTGCAGCTGATTGTGTCTCAAGAGACAGGACAGACAAGATGACCCTTATAAGAAGTCATTTCCAATCCTATTTCTTATCCTTCTATTACAAAACTCTTAAACATGCTCATTCAAATAACTAAGCACAACCGAAGGATTTTTCATCCTCCAGTGCATGGTTACACAGGTGCTGACGTCCATTCTTCAAGATGCAATTTCCGTTCCTAGCACCCAAAAAGCCATTTTACAAAGCAGCAGCTGATCAGACATTTTGTTAAACAAGCTTTTTCCTCACTCTGCAAAACAAGACGAAGGGAGTTACAGGCAAAGCAGATAACTCTGATAAATCTAATTCTGAAAAGTGAAAACGCTGTTCTTGCCCATTTCGTGGAGTCGCACCTACATGACGACGTCCTGGTGAAATCACTGTGAGCATTAAATACAGTTCACATTTATCTTAGAAAGGCAAAGCCGAACTTACACATTTTTCAACAAAATAAATCCCCAAAGCAAAGCAAGGATGGCCAAGTTCAGCAGAATATCTGATGATAAGTTAACAGAGCTATTGGGCACTGAAAAGGGAGTTTAAAAATAAGCCTGAAGGAGTAGATAGAGATTAGTGTTTGCTGTTATTATTCTTTAAGTTTTATCAGGCACTATTTATTTTTTTTCTGTTATCAAAACAGGACTAAAAATAAAGAACTTTACATATCTTTCATGTTTGCAGAGGCAAAAAAATGCATTCTCACCATAACTACACCAGAATAAGAAATGTACTGGTTTACCAACTCCATAAAGTATCTAGCAACACAGATAACTGATTACATATTCATTAAGACATAATTTTGTATGTTCTATTCTTTAAGAGTTTTTCATTAAAAGAAAAAAGAAATAACATTCTTCCATGTATAATACTGGCATAAAAACGTGTTTTAGTTTCATTTTCTTGCATCATAATGCCTTTAAAATGAAGCTGAGAAAAACATTACTGCTTGACAGTCATGTTTACAGTGAAGAAAACTGTATTTTTCATCTGGCTTCATGCCAGTGCTGTAGCTCAACTGGTTTGGTAACTCCCACAGAAACCAGCAACTAGAGATTAAATACAATCTTGGAGCAGTACGTACTCTGAGTCGGTCTTTTGAAGCTGTTTTTCACATTTGCTCTCTAACTCCAATTCCAACTATGAAACCAACAAAGCCACCTCTGAACTGGGGGGTAAAAGCCATGCTCATCAGGACTGCCGCGTGGAAATGTTCAAGAAGTCACAGGCTGTCCATGCAGACCAGGGATGGGGCGTGCATGTGGCATTTCATGTGGCAAAGCTGAAGAGTGACGCCTGTTTGGTGTTAGGACAAGACTTTCACCCAAACAGCTGCACAGTCAGTGACTGTATATTATCTCTAATTTCAGGACTTCTTGCCCCTGCTGCCCT